AATCATTATGAACATAACTATTTCTAAGTCTTTTTAAAGCAGCTTGACTATCAGAGAATATTATATAAAAATCTTATAAAATAAGAAACTGAGTGACAGACTCTTTTCTTTTCACAGTAATAAGAGATTTTTCCTCACTGAAATTTTTATATATATGAAGAGATTTTAGTGACTATTACTATAGTACTGAGTCTGATTATATGAAATTACTCAGTGAAAGACTTCATAGATGAAGCTTTAGAGAGAGAAGAGTATGTAAGAAATCTCACTTCTTACAGATCTTTATCTCTATTTCTATCTCTTATATAATTAATAGAGTTAGCAGCTCTTGACTACATACAACTATATAGACTGAAGTTTGTGAGTACTATTCATAACTCAGCTTAAATACTATTATATATTTAATCTTTACATTTATCTTTCTATTATAAATACTTCTAGTAGTTATCAGTATATATCACATCAAGCTGCAAATCACTGAATAATTACCTGTGAGCACTTATTCTTACAATAGTTTTTACAGTTAATTTAAACTATTCTCTTCAACAGAAGACTGCATACAGCACTAAAGATAAGAATAAAAATAAAAATAGAGAAAGAGATGAAAATAGAGAAAAAAATGAAAATAAAAATAAAAATGAAAATGAAAATGAAGAAAAGAGAGAAGAAGAAAGAGAAAAAGAAGAAAAAAAAGAATTTTTTTATTACAATTATTAAATAGAGTCTCTCTCTAAATAAATAATTTACCATTGTTATTTACGGAGCAAAGTGGGCCCAGTGGCGTAGTAGTTAACTATGCTATCATGAAGCCTCAATTAGCGGCCTTTCCCCCAGGGAATAAATGCTAAGAGGAAGCAGGTTCGAACCCTGCAAGAGCCATCTTAATCACAGCTTTCACTGTTAAGTCATAAAACAGTATCAGAGGTCCTCAAATGCACTATAGTGAATCATTGTCAAGCTTAAGATGTTTATTTCAGAGGTTTTCAGATGCTAATTCTCACTGATCTTAGAATTAACAGCTCTTCAGATACTTCAAGTTAGATCAGTACTAGAGTGATTGAGATCTAGAATGCCTGCAGAATAGTGAATCATTGTCAAGCTTAACTGACCAGGTCTCATTCCTCTCACTCTAGACACTCACTTTCAGAGAATGAGATTTAAAAACTATCTGATTAGAATACTCTGAGCCTAGTGAGAACCTAGATGAGATGAGACCTAGGTGCTCTTAATAGATGATTAGTGTAAGCAAGACTGTGACAGTCAATTGATAGACTGAAATGCTGAGATTAACAGCTGGAAGATTAAAGACTTAACTAGAATTGAGTAGCTCTGATATTATTCTTAGTGAGAATCTCACTTATGAGTAAGCTAGTTACAGAAGCTAGCTGAGCAGCAGCTCTTTAGAGGAAATGATAATCTCTGAAGCAGGCCTGAGAGAACAGAGGCAGCGGTCAGTTATATAGAGTGTTAAAATATGTATATAGCTTAAGATGTAAACTGCAGAGATCTTGTTCTGTAGCTCTTTTAATAATTTGTTTTATTATAGTCTCTCTTTACTTTATCTTTTTCTTTATCTTTTTCTTTCAATTTCTTTCTATACTATCTATTTAATGTGTCTATCTTTGAGACTGTATTCTTTTTCTCTTTTCCTTTGTCATGATATTGTCAAATGATTTCAAAGTATTAAAAGATGTTAAAACACTGCAATTTGTAAACAGTTTTTGTATTCTGAGCTGGAATTTTCTGATTTTGTATATCTGAAATTGATGAATGTATAATAGTTAACTTTACAGACATAGGAAAAACCCTGAGAACTAAAAGTTCTCAGGTAGATATCATAGTCTCTGACTGCATACATCTATAATTGAAGAATAATAATAATAATACGGAGTAAAGTGAAGTAATATATTAAATACTTTAAAACCCTGATTAGAATAGAAGATGTAATTCTACAGACTTTATTCTGTGATATAATTGATTGAAAAAATGCATACTTTATATAACTGTCTAGACTGACTGTGTGACTGTGTCTGAGATCAGAATCAGAATATTTAATAGTCTTATTATCAATTTAATTAATTTAATTACACAGTATTAACATTAGATAGTAGTCTTATACTGTTTTAATAAGACTCACTCTCTACTCTTATTACATTTTTAAAATGAGACTATGATTTTCACTACTTAATTTAAATTCATTTTATTACTTTAAATGACTTTAAATCTCATTTAAGAATTATCAAAAATCATTACTTTTTAAAAAATTAAAAATAGTTTAAAAAAACTTAAAATGTCTAAAAAGAGTAACTTTATATCAAGAATAAGACTAAATGAGATTAAATGAGATTATTTTCTTATTTTTTCTAAGTCATAGTCTCATTTTGAGATCTGATAAATAGTTACTTTTCATGTTTTTTTGATAATTAGTCTCAGTGAGATTCATATCAAGAAATGTACAAGATCAGATTAAATGAAATTAAATTTGAAATTCATAATCTCATTAGTCAGTCTATAACTACTTATAGAGAAAGCTGTAATAGTCTGAATAGAAAGCTGTAATAACCTGTATAAGTAGTCATCACTTATTAAGCAGGTAATTACAGCTTTAATTACTGTAATTGCTGCTGCTACAATATAATAAAACACTCTTTAATATAAAAGTGTAATATAATCTATCTCTCTCTGCAAAGATTCAGTTCTTCTTTACTTAGAATTCACACTTACTATACAGTTCTGCAAATCTTCTACTTTCTTTTATATGAATATAGCTACAGATTTCTACAGTTCTTATAGTTAAAGAATTAACTATAAAAGTTTATAAATCTTCTACTTTTTTCTGTATGAATGTGACTACAGACTCATATCACTCTTACAGACTACAGTTTAAGAATTAACTGCGAATATTCTTCTTTTTCTTATATTCTGTATGAATGTGACTGTGAATTTATACAGTTCTTTGATTTCGTTGTTTTAATAATATAATATTATGTTATTTATACTGAAATAAGAGATTTTACCCTCTCTTTTACAAGATCTTTATCTTCTATAAAATTTATATTTTAAAACTACTTCTCTATGCTTCAGAACTATATTCTACAGCAGATTTTTTCATATTTTTAATTTATTATAGTTTTTCAATCTTCTACAGCTTCTCTGCAACAATGTGTCTGTTATTCACAATCTGTTATAAGAAATAAGATCTGCTCTGAATATTATCATTCTCTGACTCTTGAGTAATTTATATTTAATCACTTATTAAACATCTTTTTTACAATGTACAGAGCTTGTCATGACTTCTAATCAATGTATAAGTATCAGAGCTTGAAAATACTTTAACAGTGTAACTTAACTTTCTACAGAATTTTCACAATCTGTCTCTAAGACTTCTATAGAATTGCTATTAAATACCAGTTCAGAAACCATAGTATTAAGTTACTTAATATTAAAAAAAGTTGAGATTGAATATCTGTACTATGAGAACATTTCTCTTTGAGGAAAATTAAATCATGTTCAGTATCTCTTGAAAATGACTGTTGAATTTATCAAAGATGATTAAATAACTTGTGAGCTGAGCTGTGCAGATCTTTTTTTTTTGAAAAATTAGTTATTATAAAGTAATTAAATTAATAATTTACAGAAAAGAAAAATAATAATGATAAAAATATTCAATTCTACTATATTACAGTCTGTCTGTAGAATTGCTATTTTCTAATGTGAAGTAGTTCTGTAATAATTAGCATATCAAGACTTATATACCATAAAAACATTTTTATAGTCTTAGTTTTCATTAGTTCTTTTAAATATCAGATCAGAGAAGATAGTATATCTCTTTTCAAAGAAAATTAAATCATGTTCAGAGTCTCTTAGAAATGACTATTAAATTTCTTAAAAATAATTAGATAGTTATAAGTTAACTATATAAATGTTTTTTTTTTTTTTTTTTTAAAAAAAATAGTTATTACAGAGTACAAAATTAATGATTTACAGAGAAGAATGATGATGATGATGAAAATATTCAATTCTACTATATTGTAATCTGTCTGTAGAATTGCTGTTTTCTAATATGAACTAGCTCTGCAATACTTAGCACACGGCTGCGCACCAAGGCTTGTGTGCTACAAAAACATTTTATACGATATGCATCATGCTTAAGCCCTTTGTGATGGAGGTGTTCTTAGAGTAGTTGATTGTTATTATGAGAAGCTAGCTGCTACGTGGCCTTATATAGAGAGCTTGCGATCGCCGATCATGTGAATTATCGGCTTGGTGATTATTCACTATTTCGGGTAGAGGCATCAGTTCTTTTCTTGGGCTTGTCTCTGATCAAGATTTTAGAAATTCTAGCCTTATCTTGGTGGAATATTTTCACCAGTGCGGTTTACATTGAAATTGAATGTATCTGTGGTAGACTGGCCGCCGGGACCATGAATTTCATGTTTGGTTCCATTTGGTCTGGTCCTATACATTTCTTGATGTGAATCCCGCTGGGACTGGCTATCAAAAAAACATGTAAAATGACTATATATCAGATCTTGAAATGAAATCATGACTTGAAAAAAATGAGAAAGTGGTCCCATTTGGTCCCATTTAGTCCCATTCTTGGCATAAAGTTACTATTTTTAGACATTTTAAGGTTTTTTTTAGACTATTTTTAATTTTTTAAAAAGTAACACTTTTTGATAATGCTTAAATGAGATTTAAAGTCATTTAAAGTAATAAAAATAATTTAAATTGAGAAGTGAAAATCATGATCTCATTTGAAAAATGTGACAAGAGTAGACAGTAAGTCTCACTGGGACAGTATGGGACTACTATCTAATGTTAAAACTGTGTAATGGGATCAGTCGAATTGGTAATGGGACTATCAAAAAATCTGGTCCTGGTCCCAGACACGGTCACACGGTCAGTCTAATCTGTGGGACCTTTGGTTTGCATGTACTTCGTACGGACTTGGATTTACTCTCGTTGCCATTCCATGTTACCTCTTTATGGGGATATCCGCGGCGCCGTTTTAAAACTTTTCAGCTAGGCCGAGCAAGATGGGATGCGGCTTTTCTTGGAAAGCTAGGAGTTGTAGTAGACATAATATTCCAGGTCCTATTACAATTCAAATATTCTACGAGATATTTCTCGTGGCTGTTACCAGCTCGGTCAATGATCAATTAACCTTGAGGAATAGATTCTCCAAATATAAAACACGGTTAAACATATTGAGAGTTTTGAGCACACTTCGCTTCGCATAGTACGGAAACGGGGAGGAATTATGTGACTGGAGTAGTAGAAAACAAACAATAATGTTGCATTTAAATACTTAAAATCATCATGTACATGACCATCACAAATCATTATATATACACATTACATGGGCCCAGGACGAGGTCACTTATCTGGGATATCCTTTAGTTATTTCATAGGGTGAGAACCGAATGTGGATAACACCCACTAACGACCATCAGCGCTATACGGGGAATAGTAGATATGCTGGAAGCATGGGGGAAAAACACTAGTAAGAAATGTGAAGAAGAATTTGAATGGGTATTAATACGAAGAATATATCGATTAGGTGGGGCAATAGGGAAGGGTAGAGAGGAGCGGAATAAAATGACGCAGAAAAGTTAGAGTGTATCAACTCTTTCTAAGGCATTTTTTAGATCGCCACTCCTATTAGAAATGCGGGTGGCAGATTTCTTCGAGGCATGTTTCCTCTGATGGAGATCAAGATTAAGACCACGTGCAACTTGCGAGACAAAGGGTAAGCTAGTCCTGCTATCAAGATATGCATCTCCATCGTGTCTGGAGCCGTGATTGCTGGTGGTAACTCCTGTGCTACGCCGGCGATCTCGACGGGCAGGTTGCGATCGACTTCGATGCGACGAAGATTCCTTGACTGTAGAAGACTTTTTCTCTGGGGGTGATACATTCGGCGGCGATGGCATGGGGACCTTGATCACGACATGATCGGAGCAAATGCAGCCACAGCCGCTTGGGCAGAATGGAGTATCGGTCGACTTCTTTCCTGCGGCGAGGTGAGGGTGGGTTGCGAACCAGTTCTGGTGGCATTCGATACAGGTGATGTGCCCGCAATTTAAACACGGAGCAAACATTCCATCAATGACTTCGGCACAGATAACACATGACAACTTGGTAGGGATGGGCTGTGGTGGTTTGCATTGGGGGCATTGAATTGCAGGCGAATCTCCACGGCGCGTTTTACTCCTGCAGCTGTCTTTTACAATGCTAGACATTTCAAAGGCTGATATATGAAGAGCACATCCACATCTCGCGCAATTTCGTTGTATATCCAGACCTTGGTTGATCTCAAAAGGGTGTCTTTCTTGAGATCGAATCGAGGCTAGTGGCCTAGAATCACGTCTTGCGAAGTTTGATATTCGCTTATCATGATATTTCAGGCGTGATGAATGACACATGTCGGGGCAACCGCTAGAGGCGCCATCGATTTTAAGTACCTCCTTGCGCGTTATGGGCATATCCCAAACAAATAACAGGTTAGCATACGCAGCTCGATACGATTTGAAGAGTTGCCTGTGCTGCTGATCAAGCAGAGGTGAGTAATTATGGTTGTCACAATCGAACAAATGTTGATTTTTCATAACTATTTTCAACCCCTTTGGTGGTTTGGACTTGGGTGACGTTGGCCTTTCACTTTCAGAATCAGAAGGGGTTTGTGATGTCGCAGTAGTCGATGCCGTTAAGTGGTCCGGGATTGCGGATGCTGGTTTTCCGAAAATACCACCTGTAGTCCATCCACTGGGACCATTCACATGGAGGCTGCCTGCGGGGCTTGGTCGCTTCTTGCTACTATTACTTGGAGGTGATGAGGATCCTGAAGGTCCAAACGTAAAAGACCGGGAGAGCGAAGAAGCGAGCGTGGTGCCTAAGCCGGAAACGGAGCGTGGATTAGAATGACGATCTGGTGAACCCGACAAAGTTATAACTTGAGGCTGCGATTTTCGGCCCGAAGGTTGTCTGCTCAGTTGGATTCCTTGAGGGGGCGTGTTCCCAGTGGAGTATAGTGGTGGCGTATCTACTTGCCAATGTTCTGTTGAAGAGCAAGCAGAGCTTTGGGACACCGAAACGCCGTGGCTAGACGACTTGGATAATGGCGGGAGCTGCGATGTTGCTTGACATTTGTTACGGAAATTTCCTGTTGGTGAACTGTTATCTTCAGCTAGCGGTGGGTTGTGTACAATAACTGATGATCGTCTGACCCGGCGAAATCCCGATTGGCTTGCATCCATTCCAGACTTCGGTTCGTATAAAATGCATGAGAGCATTGCCAACATTTGAATGTCCCCTAACCGCTCGAAGTAGTTAAATCTACCCAAAATTAGCCACTGACACACAAGGTCGACTGACCGTCCTGGATGGGAAAACTTACAATGCTGGAATAAGCCAACCACGGCCAAGAGGATGCTCTCCCCATTTTACCTTGTCAGGCCGAGAACTGCTAGACGGCTTTATCCGCGTAAATTCATCGAGCCTCGAGTCTACAGCGCTATCTTTCCCTTTAATGTCACGCATGGCTTTTCGTGCAATCCCGACAACATCATCTCCAGGGATAGTATTCGAGGAAAGCTCATTTTGTAGCATTAACCTAACGAGACCCCAAACTCGAGCGAGATCAAAAATTCCCACGCCAGCTGCAACTGCCATATTATGCGCGCATATGTCCGGCGGGTTACCAAATACTTGATATTTCTCGGCGAGCTCCCGTTTGGCTGGTAAAAGGCCCTTTAGATCATAAATATGGATGATGTTATGTGAGTTGTCCGACGATGACTTCACGGTGCCAACTCCCGTCGTAGACTTCTGAGAGTTTTCAGTGGATCTTGAACGATAGAACCCCAAACTCCCACTTCTCCAAGTATTCGGGCCATGAAATTGAGGTGGGAGGTTTCCCAGAAGATCTGATGAGCCTGATGAGCTCGAGGACTCGACAGACGAATCATCTGAATAGTCAGAAACTCCATCATCCGTGATGGTGGCCCGGCCAGTCCCGACGCCACTAGAAGGCTTTGGGCCCGGTGAGCTTGTCTGCAATCGGCCAAAGGCTTCAAAAACTCTATCGCTTCTTGCAAGTCGCATATCACTAAGTCCCATGGAGCCCATGAACACTGTTGCCTTCTCCTTTTTGGGGAGGGAAAAGCACACAAGCCGGCCATCGTTGGTCCAGAACGCCCCACATGTTTTATATACCGGCACCATAACATTTGCATTAACTGGCCGGAGCATCTCAGAAGAGCTTAGGCCGAGTTGCGACGCTCGGAATTGCCCATTTTCTTCATCATCATCGCTGGATTCATCGCCATCTAGTAGATCTGGGGACTTCAACGCTTCGCCGAACTGACGTTTCACCAACGCCACGCTCTCCTCGACATTATGTTCGCCCAAAAGGTAGCGGATGGCTCCCTCGAGGGAGCCTCGCTTCTGAGCGAGATATGTCTCAGCGATAGTTCGTAACCCTGCCGTCATGGTCGACGCCAACTGGGCAGTGACTGAGCTAGTCTTTTGCACAGTATATACGGGGATCGAAGCTCGTGGGTAGTCAGGAGGGAATTTAATGTCGACCTTTATGAAAAGGTTACTGTTGTCGGGACCCCAAGGGCCATGCATTGAAACTGTCGTTTTGCGTTGCCCAACATTAACAGATTCGAAAGAAACCTTTGTGAACTTTTCCCCAACATGTGTAATTTCGTCTCCTAGTGTTTCCACCTCCCAACCTGATATCTTGACACCCCGCATCCAAGAAATAGGATTCATGTCAGCGCGTAGAGCGGACCGCCCTTGTACACCAACCACAGACCCCATCGTCCCCCCTCGGTTCCAGCTACGATAGTAAGGCATGGAGACACTACTGGGTCCAACTCCAACAGTCGATAGCGATCGATGGTGGCTGGATGTTTGATTTCCTAGAGGAATACCCTTTTGCTCGGCATTATCCTCTAGCGGTGGATCATCGCGGAACGTTTTATAGACAGCACCTTTTCGCGTCAGGTTTAGAGAGGGGTTGAAGGACTTTCCGATTTCGTATCCAACTCCCTCCAAAATCTCTGGGTTTACTCGATGCAATCGCAACTCCTTATCCGTGCCCCAGGACACAAGCTGGAATTCGCGATGATCTAAACCATCCACTACCGTCCCTCTCGATCTCCAGAGAAATTCCTTGACTTGACCCCTGTGACCAGGAAAGCTATGAACACGCGGAGGATCACCGCCATCATCACCTCTCTTCCGGCTATAAAGATGCAAATCACTATTTCCACGTTGCGGCATGACAAGAACGCCCCATCCGAATGGCGTGTTTCTAGCTCGCCAAACAGGAAACGGAGTGTGAATGACCTTTTCCGGAATATCTTCTGCAACCGAATAATCCCAAAACTTGATGGTTTTGTCCAACGAACAAGTCACCAATGCCTCTCGACGTGTCCGGTTCCAGTCAAGGCCGTAGATTTTCGTATTATGTGCCACGATCGTACGCAGTGGACGAGCACCCACTCGATCATCCCAAATCTGGAGGAACCTATCATGCGAGCTTGCAATAACGTGAGGGTCCTGTCGGTTCCATTTGACTTGGGTTGCACCAGCGAACCAGTCGGAAAATGATATCGCTGGCCTTGCTGGAGAGCGTAGGTCCCAGCAGTGAATAAAACTGTCCACGGCGCACGTAGCTAGGACATCGGGATGGTGGGCGGAAAAGTTAATATCTGTAATAGCTCGAGAATGTGCATGCAAAACGTATTCAATGGAGTTTTGTGTCGATTTCATTGCCAGGTTCCATACTAGAGCCTTTTGATTGGATGTGCTCACAACCCAGCTGTCTCGTGCGGCGAAAGGGGACCACTGGACGTCCGCTACTTCCCAGGGGGTATGGTGGGGGAGGTATCGCGGGGGGGAATAGGGACTATCCAGGTCAATAATATGGAGACCTTCTTTTCTATTACATCGACTATCAGCTATAATGGAAATATATACCATTTTCCAGCTACTTAAAAGAAAAAAAGACAAAAAAACCCACGAAGCGAGTACAACATCTCTGCCACATGGAGATATTGACATAGACCCAACCGGCTGCTCGACATGAAATGAGCTGTCTTCACCGAAGGTAGGGCTTTCATAGGCAGATGCCAGTGGCTTCAGAGCCATAGGACTCGACATATTGTCGAATATCTCTCTCCCTCGTTGCTCCCTGCAAAATTACTGCCACGGAGACAGGCAGTAGTAGATGATTTTTCCCCCCATATGGTGGGTGAATCAGGACCCATATAGGACGTCTGGCAGATGGTATGAGAGAAGCAAAAGAGCCTCTGCGCACATTAAACAACCCAGCTCTTGTGTCGAATAACTATTCACCACAGTATGCAGAATGCGCAACAAGGGTCGTGGCTGCGTGATTTCGTCATTTAGGAGGATGAAGACGTACAATATAGCTTCCCAATTATAGCAAGGAAACTCGGGAAACAGATAAATATAGAGAAAATACGGGGACAGTAATGCACCTAAACTAAGATATGAATTTCTCAAGCTCTTGACGGACTCATTCAACGAGCTGTAGTCAAAGATGCTTGGAGGTTTAAACGCGTGTGATATATCCTCCAAGATGAATAGTTACCACGTGATATGCTTAACTGGTTGTAGATGATCGAGGTACACTAATCTAGCCGCGCAGCATTCTATACGTGGTGGGTCACGTGGCCCCTATAGGGCATCCGGCCAATAGTAGATAGAGGCTTAGTTTGCGGTGAAAAGCGATATTTGCTCTGTATCATACGTTATATAACTGCAGCATTTAGTTAATGCAATTAATACTTTATGTTGAGGTTTCCCTACTAACTTATTTAGCCTTCAATCATCGTCACCGAATCCCTGGGTTTATAATTGAAAGATTGCTATTCTACATCCAGCCCAGCGTATTGCATACGAAATTTACACTTGAACCTAGCTAATTGCAAAAAGGCTGTAACACACCAAACAAGAGCATCACGCCCGACTAGAATAATGAGTAAATACTTCCACATTATCGGCGAAAAAGCATGAGCTGTAATCTGCTTATTAGCCACAGACTCACAGTTGCCTTTAAAGGGCCACGATCCATAGCTTGTCAGAGTTGTTGGCCATTATTATATTTGGGTACAATCAGATAACTTAACATAGTTAACTTACCCAGCACGGCACGGAACATCCCCTAGCCCGGCTCAGTTTATCCGACGACGTTGATATTGCAGATTGCGGGCCGCACGAGAGATTCAGAGCAAAAAACCCTTCTAGCATAACATCGACCCTGCAAGTTAAGGGAATAATAATCGATCAACTCTTCAGGCCTTCTGCGACCGTCTGACTTTGGATTTTTGCCTGGGAGCTGCGGTTGCTGTTTGCTTCCCCCTACCCCGCCAAACTCCAACCGAATTTTCCCAATCACCAGGCGCGTTGCTCTTCGTTTCGAGAAATATTGTCAGTAGCAGTAACCGGCTATTCTGCTTGCTTTTGTTTCATCCTTTACCGTGAAGAGAACTCCATTTTAATTTCTGGCCGCCCAAACGCGCCTGCACAGCAACTTGCCCGCGATGGATTTGCCCAAGAGAATAGTGAAGGAGACGCAGCGGTTGATGACTGAACCGTGAGTTATTTTACTTTCTAATAGAAAGTGTGCCTTTGCTCCTCTGGGTGACTAACTGCGATTTGTCTATTCCTCTTCTTGTTTCGTTCAAAAAGTGTTCCTGGTATCACTGCAAGCCCTAGGGAAGACAATCTCCGTCACTTTGACGTTACCCTCGAAGGACCAGCCGACTCACCTTATGAAGGTATGGGATATATCTAATCTATAGATAACTCCCTTACTATGAAGGCCTCCCGCCCGGGCTAACACGTAATTCAGGTGGAATCTTCAAGCTACAGCTGTTCCTACCGGAAGATTATCCCATGGCGCCTCCACAAGTTCTGTTCCAGACAAAGATATACCACCCAAACATCGACGGCATCGGAAGGGTTTGTCTTGATGTATTAAAGAGTATGGCAAAAACCTCCCCCTCCTTAGTAGCAGCATCAGAAGCGCACACACCACCACCACCATCATCATCATCACTGCTACTACTACTACTACTACTACTACTACTACTACTACTACTACTACTACTACTACTACTACTACTACTACTACTACTACTACTACTACTACTACTAGGAGTACTCTACAGTAACTAATCTCCTTACCTTGAACCATAGAAAACTGGTCCCCAGCTCTGCAAATCCGCACCATCCTCCTCTCGATCCAGGCATTACTTGGGGCCCCAAATGCCGAAGACCCGCTCGCGGAGGAAGTCGCGAAACACTGGAGAGAGAACCCAGCCGCTGCCATTGCGCAAGCAAAGGCAGATACGAAGCGCTATGCAATGCCAGAGGCAGCGGACAAGAAGCCATGATATAAAGAAACCGGGTTTGGCTAACAATATCATTTGAGTAAGAGGGTGATATCACTTTATTGATTTATTGATTGATTCGTTACGGACGATTCCTTTGCGTTTTTTACTTGTTTTGCGTCTTATTGGCTTTTGTTTTATATTGTCAGCGAGCCACCCTGCTCTTGTTCTTCGTTTTCTTTTTTCTTTGTTCATCGTTTAATGATTCGATACTCTTTCTTTTGATATTTGAGCGTTTGGGCTTTCATCTTCTGTTTCATTTCCATTTCTATAGTCATGTATTTTTTTTCAGGGTTGAAGATATAACCTGTGATGATTCAATGCCCGCTCGATAGAATACAGACTACGGCGCTCTCTTTTCGGGGAGCAACACGCGGTGCTTTCATATTTCCTAATTTCCTACACTCCAGTGAAACTACGAAGTGGACCAGAGCAGGGAAATGGGTTCATAGTTATGTCAGTTATTAGTTAATGAAGGTTCTGTTTCTTTTGCCGGATTGAAAACGAGAGTTTCATCTGCTCTCATTTCATAAACGATTCATTTTGAGCTTCTTGTTTCGGTTCCGTTCTACGTACCAAGTGTCTCAAGGCGATAGAATTAGCGAAGACGCTTTTCTAGTACTTCCAACTGCCATTCGTAAGCATTCGAAGACTTCTATGAAGAGTTCCGAGAGTTTCAATATGGAACGTAGAGTCTCCTCCAGGAGGTCAAAAGTGCGATTTAATACTCCAACAATGGAGGGAAAGGAAAGGATCATGTACCGACGTCCCGTAACTCATATCCAGTCATTCGGCACGCTATTCGAGCTCATGTAACACGAAAATACAGTAACTAGTAATAGACTCGACTGTGAAATTCATTCCTCGTCCCAGAAAATATAGAACAAACCCGCATTTGCTGAAAGTATTCCTGCAAGGAATTCGCATGGGTGTGGTTGAAGAGAACGAGGAAAGTTCGTTGGAGATATCGCGGAAGGGCAACCTAAGTCACGTGCCACACTTTAGCGAAAGCATCTCGCACCAACCAACCACCACAACCCAAAGCGTCCAAAGGCGTGCGTCGTAACGAGTTCAATTAATTAAATCCACGAAGTCATCCAACCTCGTCCACCCACCGGCTGCGCATCTCCACTCATCCAAGATGCGTACCTACGACGATACCTTCAGCGGCGAGAAGATTTACCCTGGCAAGGTATGTCGAAAAAATGAGATTGTCTTTTTTGGAAGATGTTGTGGGGGCTCTCGATATCAGAATGATCATCACACGCACGTTCTGGTTTGGGTTATGGAGGATTCCCTCCTATGCGCCGGAGTTTACATGGGAATTTAAATACGCGTTTGAATGTGTGGAGGAATACTGTGGAAAATACACCAAGCTGACATTTTTGGCTGTGATGTGTGCAGGGTAAACTCTTCGTCCGCGGCGACGGCAAAGTCTTCCGCTTCCAGAACGGCAAGACCGAATCCCTCTTCCTCCAACGCAAGAACCCTCGCCGAATCTCATGGACGACCCTCTACAGAAGACAACACAAGAAGGGTATCTCTGAAGTCAGTGGCATTTCCATCCTTTTCCCCTAGGGTTTTCAAGATGCGAAGGTTATGGTTGGGAAGGAGGATGTGTGGAGTAGCAGAAGATACATGGTCTGAGGATGAGGAAAAGAACGAAGGAAACATCACGGATGGATAGGAATGTTAAATTTTTGCAGATGGGGGATTGAACAAATTGGGACTTATGGGCTAACCAAGGGAAAAATTTTATCTTTCATCACCGCATATAGGAAGTTGCCAAGAAGCGTACTCGTCGCGCCGTCAAGTCCCAACGTGCCGTTGTCGGCGCCTCTCTAGACGTCATCAAAGAACGACGAAGCATGCGCCCCGAGGCCCGCCTCGCTGCCCGCCAACAGGCCATCAAGGAAGGAAAGGAGAAGAAGTCCGCTGCGGAGAGCAAGAAGAGAGCTGAGAAGGCTAAGGCCGCTACCAGCGCTGCCAGAGGCCAGGCCAGCAGAATCCAAAGCAAGCAAGGTGCTAAGGGTTCTGCTCCCAAGGTTGCTGCTAAGTCTCGTTAAGATTTTGGGATTTAGTGGTGGCGCCTGGGGTGGTTTTCGTGAGGCGGAAGGGAAATGGTGCAATTTATGAATATCAGTGTGCGGGAGCCTCCTATGATTTTAGCAACTGGGGATGTATATTCCTTTGTATTGGAACCCTGTGAGACACAGATTAGTCTTCTACTATGGGAGGTTTTGCGCGCAATGATTTTCCGTTTGCAAAAATGGATTCTTGCTGGATTTCTTTCTTGTTTTCTTTTACGCTTTTAATGTCCTGTGGTTTCTAGCTAAAAAGAAAGAGCTCGGTTTCGCAGTTTGTTTACCCAGCCCATTCTCACTCCATTTGACATTGCATGGTTATGGCAAGACGATCCCAAACTGGCTTCTTGCGGTTCTTGGAGTCGTAACGCCAGCGATGCTTTATGAGGAACACCTTATAGGCGCAGCAAGTGTGCTGATAGCTTAGGAGGTGGCACCACAATCCCTAGGCTATCCGCAGTACATGTCCCGCTCATTAGAATCTAAATCACCATAACTTAATACTTCATATAGTCTATTAATCCCTCAAGTGAGCGAAACCGCAATTCGGTGTCAGTATCGTCTTCTAGAGCTGCATAGACTCTCCGTCATCAGGCTCGGAGTAACCAGACCTGAGATATTCCAAAATAAGCAATAGGGCACTGCCCTAATAAACATCAGCCTCCAAGTCTTGGCACTCGCTAATTTTTGACATCGCCAACTTCAAGTCACACAGAAGAGCTTGAAGCGGTTGAACGGCAAACCACGACAACGACAAACGACAAGAGGATCGGATCCCGAGCGACTGTAAGTAGCTCCTCTTTCTTCTCCCTATCTAGTCCCTCCTTCCCAGCACCGCAAAGAGACACCTAGAAGGCCTTCTACTATTTCTCTCTTCCCCTAGTCGCCACACCTCGCTAAATACGGCGAGCCGGAGAAGACAAACGCTAACTGGGGTCTCATCAACCCAACTTCATTTCAGCCTCCAGCACAGTCATTAACACCTTCGTCGACGACATCCTCCGAAACCTCATCTCCATCTCCTATCGCGCATCATGGGTAAAGTTCACGGATCCCTCGCCCGTGCGGGTAAAGTCAAGTCTCAGACCCCCAAGGTCAGTTTTTCGCCCATTCATTTTTTTCGCACCCAGCTATGGTCTTCGGACAGCGGTGTTCCCTCGTCTCGTTGAAAATCGTTCTGTCCGTCCGGCGAATCCTGAGATTCCGAGATGGATCGCGATATATGGGAGGGGAATACTGGAGACACGTGGAGGGATATGGAAGATAGGGAGGCAAGAGCCACTTTTGGACTGACTTGGAGTACTTTTATGGACATAGGTCGAGCCTCAAGAGAAGAAGAAGTCCCCCAAGGGTCGCGCCAAGAAGCGCCTGCAATACACCAGACGATTCGTCAACGTCACCATGACCGGTGGAAAGCGAAAGGTGCGTCCTTTAGAGCCCTTATACCAATCTGATAAGGGGAAAGGAACCCCCCAACCAGGGCTATCTACTGCGAAGGAGCCTGGAACTAACAATATGACTAATTTCTCGTCCCTCTAGATGACCCCACCTACCTCATAAACGCATTTCTTACGGTTTTTCTTGCTCTGTTGTGTTACGTTTTATGCGTTGGGAATCATGTATCTCCTTTAAAACCGGCCGGAATGAGAATTGAAAATATGGATGACGAACGAACGAGCCCACGGAGCTATTTTCACGATCAGTTTCGCGATGCCCTATTGCCCTCATTCGCAACGTGGTGGAAGAGTAGGACCGAATGGGGGGAGAGATGTGTGTATTCATGAACACAATAACAGGCGACCCAGTGAAGTCGGGGAAGAGGACTAAACGGGCCTAGTTACAATACCTCTCAGCACATTTGTGTAACCATTTCTGAACATATATTTTACTCTTGTGTCGGGTACTTCGGAAATTCAATTTTCAATTTTTTTTTCTCCTTTGCGCCTGGTTTCTTGGTGTTGACTCAGTAATATTTTCCGGCCTCGACCTTTGTGATGCCAAAGAGGCTAGCTGGGTACGGAGTATCTTGTATTGAGTGATGTTTTTAGCGGCTTCATCCCGATCGCAGTACGCAATCTACACCTCGAATTTGTTTTGCGGATTTTATGCCTTCATAATCGCTACCTTCTACATTTGAGTATTCTTTTTAGAGGATCCGTTGATAGACTCTCGTCTGGTTCCAAACCCGGACCTGCGATGCTAAGAGCTCTGAACCTCATTAAGAGCATCGTTGTTCTATGTACAGTACATATCTGCTGATTACATCCTCTTCCGCTTCATATTTTACTTCCTCATTTTATTATGTTGTTCATCTCTCACCATCATCTCAACCCAGTTTCCTAGTGCGAAGGTGGAGAAGGTTGTAAGTTCTAGTCTGCAGGTAATATTTAAACTATTTATAAAGAGCCCTCAGGGGCAAGGCTTATGTAGGACCAACCCCCTTTCAGCTATTTAGATGATCAGGACACCATTTCCCCTAGAATGTCGCAGCTTCAGATTTGTTCATTCTTTCCTACTATATCGCGATGAGTGCAAACAATAAATGAGGATTACACCACCTTGGCTAACTTGTTCAGAAGGTCTTCACTCAAAATCCTCTCGTTTCATTGGCAAGCTAGCGTGCGCAGCAATATCTTGTTGATTCCCCTCTCGCGCACTCATTATTATTATCCCTTTGTTGGTTAAAGCACAACTTCAACCCGATTTGTGTCCCGCCTTCGACCTGATTGACGTCTGCTTTATTTTGCTCAGCACAGCCTTGCCCTTTCTCCGTGCCACAAAAGGCACATTTGCCAATAACTGAGCGCCCGGGAGCGTTGGGTAGCAAAGCTTACGCCCACCCTTACTAGGCAATCACTCGATGTTAAAGCTATTAGAGCTTTGTATGATTGGGGACAGCGGGCGAATATATACGCTGATGTGCGATCTTGTAGGCAAAAAGCTGCTATCGCAAGATCTCTCCTCACACGAAGAGGGCGTCAGGCCAATTTCCAGGCTAAGCAATGACAACATATTCGGCCTCTTTCCATGCAATATTTGTGGCCCTGCCTATCCCATTCTGGGACGAGGATAGAAAGATTGGCCCTTCGATCTTTTTATTTGCTCACCTGCCCGTGATGCGGAGGGAATTCGAGATGCCACTGGTACAGATCCATCTCCTTGTGAAGCTTCTGAGTTAGCCCACCTCAGATGCTCTGGAAGATGACTGTCGGCGACGCAATGAGGGGGTGGAGGCGATGAGACAACTTCCTCGATCCCATACAAGGACGGCCGAAGCGAACGATGCTGCCCGAGGATGCTCCCCACGGGGATGCCCCGCCCCAAATTTCAGTAGCAAAAAGCAATCGTGCTCGAGTCTTGTGCGCGGTGCATGATACCGACTCGACCTTTTTCGCTGCGAACCAATCATTATTTCATGCAACATGCGTTGTAGCCTGCCAAGATGACAATATCCTTGTGATACGCGATACACCGAGCGACCTCAAGTTCGCTATCCATCCCTATATCAAGATGGATACGGGAACTTCATGAGTCACCCATTTACAAACATAGCAGGGACCTACCACCCTTGCGACATAAGTGTACTACTTTATGCCCTTTTCCATGAATCTGTGGGAGATGTTGAGCTCTTGAGGAGGGTGTTGACTTTTAGTGCAAACAAAATGGGCCAAGAAATTAGTCCCAAGTGATAGCTGACATGCGGAATAATTAACCGCGGAGGATGAAAGCAAATGTTGGTGACCCCCGGGAAGTATCTCAGAAGTGGATCTTGCTTGCCTACGCTGTAACCAAGGGTCCAGCACTTATAAATTGATTAAATTCGTTAAGAAAACAAAACTGGGAATGCTGCAACTGGACTGGGCAATCGAGTGTGCATTAATCCAGTCTAAATCAGCATATCCTGCAACAAGTCGCCATCGAATATCTAGACATGGCTAAAAGTGACCGCTCCTCTACTGGCTAAGCCGATGGCACACGCGTCTCAAATAGGCACGTTCCTTGGTCAATCTCGTCGATGAACATGTTTGGCATGTCTCATTCCGGACCAGCTTGGCCAACCAGTATTTCGTGGGCTTGCTCTCTACTGTGGACCCCCTCCCATCCGCCTTGCTCCTTGCCGTAGAAAAACCAACTTTTCCATGCAAAAAAAATGCCCGCCCAGTGGCCTCAAATACATTGTAGTAATTCATGAATTGTGATAGTCAAATATATATGTATATATTATTTCTGACATTGATTACAACTTGCACAATAATTTTTGAAAACTAAAAATTATTTTCAATTATTATTAATGTAACAAACTAATATAAAAAAGAAAATAAAAATAAAAAGAAAAAACTTTTTCTACTCATTACTTTTTTTTCTCTTCTTTCTTCTCTTTCTTCTCATGTTTTTTATTTATCTTCTTATTATTCTTCACAATTCACTTTGTATTCTTATTCTTCTTCTTCTGTAAGAGGTCTACACTGAATAGATCAGTATAATATATAGGTCTTATTAGACTGACCGTGTGACCGTGTCTGAGACCAGGACCAGATTTTTTGATAGTTGCATTACCAATTCAACCGATCCCATTACACAGTTTTAACATTTAATAGTAGTCTCATACTGTCTCAGTGGGACTTACTGTCTACTCTTGTCACATTTTTCAAATGAGATCATGATTTTCACTTCTCAATTTAAATTATTTTTATTGCTTTAAATAACTTTAAATCTCATTTGAGTGTTATCAAAAAGTGTTACTTTTTAAAAAATTAAAAATAGTCTAAAAAAAACCTTAAAATGTCTAAAAATAGTAACTTTATGCTAAGAATGAGACTAAATAAGATCAAATGAGATCACTTTCTCATTTTTTTCAAGTCATGATTTCATTTTAAGATCTTATATATGATCACTTTGCATGTTTTTTTAATGACTAGTCCCAGCGGGATTCACACCAAGAAATGTATGAGATCAGATCAAATGAGATCAAATGTGAAATTCATGATCTCAGCGGCCAGTCTAGGTCTTATAATATAAAAAGTGAAAAAATGTTAAAGAAGAAAAAGAAAGAGAAAGTGTGAGAATCAGTGATTAAAGTGAATATTTTATACATGTATATAGTGATGTACACAGTGAAGCTTCAGAGTGAAAGAATAGAAATTTCATGAGTTTTTCAGCTGAGAATTAGCAATTAAGAATGACTGAGAATCAGAGCTTTCAGCAGAATCTGTAAAGTGTAATGAAATGATCTATATAATTGATTAGATGCAGTCTGTTATATTAGTTCTCTTTTTTTCTAATTATATATAGTTCTTATCAGTCAAGAGCTGCAGTCTCAGATAACATGAAACTTGAAGTTCAGATTAGATAATTATAGTCAACTCATTTTATAAAATATTATCAGCTGTGATCACAGAGTCTCTTATTAAGAATATTCTTAATCTCTTACTTAAGTTTATTATCTTCTTTCATAATCTCTGACAGCTGTCAGTTAGAAGTTAGTTGAGAAGAAAATAAGTCAGTAATAATATAGTAAAACAAGCTTGTATAAAATATATTATAAATATCTGACAG